GTCAAGTTCTGTAGGGTTTTAAAGGACCTAAGGAGTCCAGTTCTGTACGGTTTTAAAGGACCTGAAGAGTCCAGTTCTGTAGGGTTTTAAAGGACCTGAAGAGTCCAGTTCTGTACGGTTTTAAAGGACCTAAGGAGTCCAGTCCTGTAGGGTTTTAAAGGACCTGAAGTGTCCAGTTGTGTAGGGTTTTAAAGGACCTGAGGAGTCCAGTTTTGTAGGGTTTTAAAGGACCTGAAGAGTCCAGTTCTGTAGGGTTTTACAGGACCTGAGGAGTCCAGTTCTGTATGGTTTTAAAGGACCTGAAAGTCCAGTTCTGTAGGGTTTTAAAGGACCTGAGGAGTCCAGTTCTGTATGGTTTTAAAGGACCAGAGGAGTCCAGTTCCTTAGGGTTTTAAAGAACCTGAGGAGTCCAGTTCTGTAGGGTTTTAAAGGACCTGAAGAGTACAGTTTGTAGGGTTTTAAAGGACCTGAAGAGTACAGTTTGTAGGGTTTTAAAGGACCTGAGGAGTCCAGTTCTGTAGAGTTTTAAAGGACCTGAAGAGTCCAGTTCAGTATGGTTTTAAAGGACCTGAAGAGTCCAGTTCTGTAGGGTTTTAAAGGACCTGAAGAGTCCAGTTCTGTAGGGTTTTAAAGGACTTCTTTCATTCAGGGGACTGTAACGGTTCAACAGTTCTGGACTGGATCAGATCTTCTCAGACCTGTTGGATTCTTTGCTGATGGGTGAACTGCACATAGAGGCACTAATGCATCCCCATACCATCAGAGAGGCTTTTTATCTGTGCCCTGAGAACAGAACAGTTCTCCATGTTTCTGTTCTTTTGAAATGATCTTTGGGTCAGAGACGACAGCAGAGGTTCTGATTCTGTTCGGCTTCTTCTTTGCCTGATAGAGCTTTAATGGAGGTGTTCCTGAATCCATGCAGTGATGTGTTTTAAAGACGTCCATTTTATTCAGAAATATTTAGTTTATTGTTTTCTCTGGAGGCAGATCTGAAGATAAACCTTCAGGTCAGCTCGGAGGTAAAACTTTCTTCTTCATGTGTTTCAACTTCACTTCCTGTTGACCGACGACTCGTTTCCTGTCCCAAAAGTCCCAAAACTCCTGACTGAACTTCACAACCTGATGTTTGTTTGTGTTTTTATTAAAGTAAAGATAAAATTGTAGCAGAATTGATGAAATAATAAGTGATAAGTTGTGCAACAGTGTTGTCCAAGAAGTGGCCCGCGGGCCAGCAGTTGATGCTGGACACATTTTACTGAAATAAATTAATGTTTTGTTTCATTCTAGAACAGAACCCAAACAGAACCGTCGTCATCAAAGGTCTCTCTGAAGCTGCTGTCAGCAGATTATATAATCTGTGGAATTAAACGGGTTTATTTTTTATTCTGCTCCAGCAGCTCGGGTCCAGAGGAGGTTCTGAGACAAACCAACCGAGCCGGATTGGATCATTGGTTCAGACGGGCGCGCTGGAGGCGGGAGGATCCGACGGAGCGCGCTCAGTCTGCGCGCGTCACCCACTGAGCAGCACCGACACCAGGACCCGAGTCTGAGGATCCGGGACCGGACCGGACCGGAGCAGCAGGAGGATGAACCAGAGCGCAGGAGCAGCGCAGCACAGCAGGAGGTTCTCCGTGGAGGAGAAGGTGAGCTTCATCTGGATCAGAACCGGCTTTGTTTGTTTACAGAAAGTTCTGATCTGTTGGAGAAGTAAAGGGTGACCCACATGGTTCTGGAGGAGGTCCGGTTCTGAAGGATTTACCTGTTTTTATTTAGTATCTTCTGGATTCAATCAAAACTTTTCTCCAGGTTTTTATTTTAGCTGTTTTCCATCTTCAGCTCCTTCAGCTGATGTGACTTCAGCTTTTTACAAATTTTCAAATGTTTTTTTTACAATAAAAAATATTT